TTTGATACAAATATTGTGTGTGTGTTTGGAAGAGACAATAACAGAAGACTCAAAATAATGTTTACAGCTTTTGTGGACAGATTTTATTATTACGGAACAAACAATTCCTTCCTGCATGGTGTGGGAAACCTGAAAGAGAAATCCTTACACAAGGAAGAGAGCTACAGAACCCCATTACTGGGGAGTGGGGATATAAATAAAATTGTCTAAGTAACTCTCACCTGTTGCCCATCTCTTTTTCACTTCCACAGCACCCTTAAGTTACGTTATCTTTTGTTTAGGGCTGTATGCTTTGAAGAGAGCTGTTATTTCCACAGGTTTAAACACTAGATCTCAAGGGAGACCCTTTCACTTGCATTTTACTGCATACATCTGGTGAATTGCTACAACTTATAGCTGGAAAATTTAAGTCACCTGGCTCAGTTGCATACTTAACTTGGCCTAAAGTCCATCTGGGAAGACCTCATTATTTACTGGGTATTGTTCACAGTGTTGCATATTTCTTGCCCGCAAACTCAGATGACTATAAAAAAAGCCACAAACACCACTTCAGTAGCAAAAGGACTGAGTCACCCATTGTCTTGGCTCGCACACGTGCACCCGCGGCCCCGGGATCCGTGCTCGTTGTGGCTGGTAACGGCTCCGCGGACGGGGTTATGCAGAGCCACCTCAGCGTCGCCGCTGTGGCTCTTGCTGGACGTGCGCACGGGGACGCCGGGTCTGGACACGGGGAAGGAGAAGGGTCCAAGCGCGACGCAGGCAGCTGAGCACGCGCCAGACCCTCGTCAGCAGAGCGCAGCCCCCCTCGGCTGCACGTCTCACCTGCCGCTGCCCCTGGAAAGAAAGCGGCAACCGTGGTGATGGAAGGCATCCCGCTCCCTCCCTTGTCGCCCCTTACACACCAGCACGTAATTATCGAGTATTTAACCATTTGCCTGCCAAGAGGAGCTCTGAGCCAGCGTACAACCTTACGTACTCCACGTAGAGAAGGGGAAAGGCAGGCCCGACGCTCCGGTTTCACACCGGCCAGAAGCCAAGCGCTAAGGCAGCCGTTACGGGCCGCGCTGATGGCTGCCCGGCCAGGGCACCTGCAGCACCACGGCCCCTTTGCACAAAGCGTGCCGCTCGGCGGCCTGGGCAGCAACCGAGCGGGTGAACGGGCAAAGCCAGGCTGCTCTTCAGCCGCCCTTCGGAGACACGGGGCAGGCCGCGAGCCCACCGGCGTGCGCGGCGCGCTGACGGGGAGCAGCGCTGCTCCCTAGGCCTCGGCCTTTCCGCGGCCTGCGGGGCCTGAGGGCGCAGCCGCGGCCGGCG